GGGGAATTTTTTAGGGTTTTTTAAGGCTTTTTTAGCCCCAAAATTCCCCATTCAAAGGCAACAAACGGCACCAGGAGACAGAAACACACGGCTGGAAACCTGAAATTCCCAAAATTTTGGGAATTTTTAGGAATTTTGGAAAAATTTGGGGAATTTGGGGATTTTTTGGGAATTTTTGGGGAATTTTTAGGGATTTTTTTTTTTATTTTTAGGGGATTTTTAGTCCCAAAATTCCCCATTCAAAGGCAAAAAATGGCCCCAGGAGACAGAAACACACGGCTGGAAACCTGAAATTCCCAAAATTTTGGGAATTTTTGGCAATTTGGGGAATTTTGGGGGAATTTTGGGGATTTTTGGGAAAACTTGGGAATTTTTTGGGGAATTTTTGAGGATTTTTTTGGATTCTTAGGGGGATTTTTAGCCCCAAAATTCCCCATTCAAAGGCAAAAAAAGGCACCAGGAGATGGGAACAGATGGCCATAAACCTGAACATTTTGGGAATTTGGGGAATTTTTTTTGATTTTTGGGAATTTTGGGAACTTTTGGAATTTTGGGGATTTTTGGGGATTTTTGGGGAATTTTTGGGAATTTTTGGGAATTTTTTTAATTTTTTGGGATTTTTTTAAGGCATTTTCCCCATTCAAAGGCAAAAAACGGCACCAGCAAACAGGAACACGCCGCCGCATACCTGAAATTAACAAATTTGGGGATTTTTTGGGAATTTTGGGAAAAATTTGGGATTTTTTGGGGATTTTTTGGGGATTTTTTGGGGATTTTTTAGCCCCAAAATTCCCCATTCAAAGGCAAAAAACGGCACCAGGAGACAGAAACACACGGCTGGAAACCTGAAATTCCCAAAATTTTGGGATTTTTTGGCAATTTTGGGAATTTTTTGGGAATTTTGGGGATTTTTGGGAAAATTTGGGAATTTTTTGGAGTTTTTTTTGGATTTTTAGGGAATATTCACTCATTTGGGGACACACAATCTTTGATGTCGGCCTTCTCCAGGGACTACAAATCCCGGATTTTCGGGGGTTTTTTACGCAATTTTTTTGGCGATTTTTTTCAGAAATTTTTGGGGATTTTTTTCAGGAATTTTGGTTTTTTTACGAATTTAAGATTTTTAGGGAATTTTGGGAACACTCACTCATTG